TTGGCAGGACTAGACTCTTCTGTCCACTCTAGGGGAAGTTCTTTCCTTGTCTCTTCTAGCTCCTAGTTGCCCAGGTATTCCCTGACTTGGAGATACATTTTGGCATGGCTGTGCATCTCTCTGTATCAGTTGACCTCTTTTATAAGGACACTACTCAGACTAGATCAGGACCCCCTCTATTGTGTAAGACCTCCTGTTACCTGATAACATCTCCAGAAACCCTATTTCCAAACAAGGGCATATTTATAGGTTGTTGTTGTTGTTTTTGTTGTTATATGCTGTCAAGTTAGACCCGACTCATAGCGACCCCTTCTTGGGTTTCCGAGGCTGTATCACTACGGAAGTAGATTGCCCAACCTTCCTTCCGAGGAGTAGCTGATGGGTTTGAACTGCCAGCCTTCTGGTTGCAGTCAAGTGCCTTAGGCACTATGCTACCAGAGCTCCTATATTTATGGGTAGTAAAAACCAAACAAAACCAAATTCACTGCCATCAGTCGGATTGGACTCATAGCGACCCCTCCTTGGATTTCCAAGGCGATGTCACTGCAGAAGTAGATTGCCCAACCTTCCTTCCGAGGAGTGGCTGGTGGGTATGAACCACCAGCCTTCTGATTAGCAGTCAAATGCCTTATAAGATTTCAACATATCTTTTTGGAGAACACAATTCAGTCCATAACAGAAGCTTAAAGAAAAATTCATTCTTAATATCACTACCTTATTTCACTCTAAGGAGCTCTGGTGGCATAGTGCCTAAGACATTTGACTGCTAACCAGAAGGTTAGCTAACCCACCAGCCACTCAGCAGAAGGAAGACTGGACAACCTACTTCCATAAAGATTTACCACCTCGGAAACCCAAAGTGGGTTGCTATGATGTTGGCACATTTCAGTCATTAAAAAAAATGAGTAATTTTTCTCATAATATAAAAGTAATATGGTTTTACTACAGAAAGGCATAAAGACACACACACACACACACACACAAACCATCATTCTACTACCCCAGAGTTAACTACTGTGAATATGTTGATGTATACCTTCCTTCTTCTTGCATGCACCCATGCATACACATTTGTAAAAGTGGGGTCACACAGAAATACTGTTTATGTAACTGCAATGAACTTAGGGTACAAGTATTATAATGTCTCCTTAATTTTTCCAGTTATTTATTAGAGCCTCCCCCTTATTCAAAGTCATACCAGTATCCCCCAGTTAAACTGACTCCACAGGGGTAAAGTCCTGCTTCTGAATACCAAGTGAAGAGGGAGCTGTCTTACATATCTTACCTGTCTGTGCTAACTGTTCCTTCTCTTGGCTGTGGTATCACTATTGAGTATTGCACCTGTGCAGCCCCATGGGCAGGGATCCACTCTAATGCTGCCATTGACTGGCCCTAGGCCCTGTGTAGACTATAGTGGGCCTTGGTCCCTGGCTCCAAGAGGACTGTTTTCTTAGTTTGCAGTGAGCAGTATGCTAGCCAGGGAGACTAGTTCCTTAGGCTCTTATTATTATTATTATTATTGTGATTTGGGTGAAAATTTACAGAGAAAATTCACTTTCCATACAGCAGTTCACATGCACTTTGTCTCATGATATTGACTACAATTCACCACAATGCAACAGCTCCCCTCCCACTTCCACCCAACAATCACCTCTTCCCTGTGTCCATCCCTCCATGCACCCCTGCCCCCTGAGCTGTCTCCCTGTGCATAAACAGTCCTTCTATTCACCCATGATTGTTTTATCCAAGGAGTGTATCTACCTTAGGTAAATGTTCAACTCATATGCCTGTGTTTTGTTTGGCTGCAAGCCACAGTTGTGGGTTCAAATCCAGATCTCTGAAGGGCAGCTAGGGGCCATAGTCTCAGTGGTTCCACCAGGCTCTATCAGACCAGCAAAACTGATCACCCCCTTTTTTTTCTCCCCCAAATGATTTTGAGTTGTGTTCCACATTGTTCTCCCCTCTATCCAGAATCTCCTACATAGATGCCGCTCCAAGTGGTTGACAGTGGTAGCCTGGCACCATCTAGTTCTTCTGGTCTCATAGTTGTATAGGCTGCAGATCGCATGGTGTACCAGTCTCTAGAACTAATTTTTTCCATGAATCTTTGGTTTTCTTCATTCTTCTTTGCTCTGGATGAGGAGAGACCTATTGTTGCATCTAGATGGCTGCTTGCAAGCTTTTAATGTCCCAGTTGCTACTTGCCAAAGTAGGAGGTGGAACAATGTTTTGTGTAGTATGTTATGCCAATTGAGCTTGACGTCCCCTGTGACTATGGTCCTAAGCCCACAGGTTCAACTACTTGGTTTCTCTGGGTCCTTAGGCTCTTAAACTCAGACCAACGGCTTAGGTGTCACCTGACCCTAGTGAGTTTCTCTGTGAGATCCTTCTACCAGCAGGCTTTGATTGGAGCCTGGTGGGTATATCCAGATATGACTCCATTGTTTCAATTCTTAGGGAACAGGGCTTGAAGTCTGGGCCTGTGCAGAAAAGAGTTTACATAGCAGACTTGAGACTGCTGTCCTTAGAAAGCTTGGCCTTTGACTGGCATGTAGGAACTTGACTGATAAACAGTTCCCTATGAGACTTTCTCTAAATGATAAAGGTGACTCAGTGTGCCTAGACTATTTGTACAAACAATGTGGCAGGTTGAACTCCTGCTTTCCTCCTGAGGTTCTGGGATTTTGATGCATGCTGAGAGTGCCTATGTGACCAGTAAAAAACCTAGGCTTGTAGGCTCAGATGTGCTTCCCTGGTAGACATTTCCCATGTGGTTTTATAACTTGTTGTGAAGGAATTAAACATGTCCTGTGTGACTCCAGTGGGAGAAAAATCTTGGAAACTTGTGCCTGGTTTCCTCCAGACTTCGTTCCAAGCACCTTTTACCTTTGCTAATTTTGCTTTATGTCCTTTCACTGTAATAAATCTTAGCTGTAAGTCTAACTATATACTGAGTTTTGTGAGTCCTTCTAGCTAATCACTGAACCTGGAGGTGGTGTTCCAATCCTCGACCTTGACACAGAGTCCTATCCCTCACAGATGGGTTTGGGATCCTATGGCAAATTGGTCTCTGCATATCAGGGGGTATTGTCACAGTCCTACCCTTGTCAGGCCAAAAAGCAATGACACTCTTCCACTGTATTTTTACATAACAATACAAGACATTTCTAGTAAATCTCTTACATTTTTAGTAATACTCTTAAAAGAGGGGGGACTCTCTACTTTCTCTGCATATGCTGAAAAGCTACTGGCACATTTCTTTTCTTTTTTACATTTTTTTTTTTAATTGTGATTTGGGTGAAGATTTACAGAGCAAATTCACTTTCCATACAGCAGTTCACATGCACTTTGTCTCATGTCATTGACCACAGTTTACCACAATGCAACAGCTCCCCTCTCACTTCCTCCCCATAGTTACCTCTTCCCAGTGTCCATCCCTCCATGGGCTCCTGCCCCTTGAGCTGTCTCCCTGTGCATAAGCAGCCCTTCTTTCTCCCATGATAGTTCTTTCCAAGGAGTGTATCTACTTGAGGTAAATGTTCAACTCATATGCCTGTATTTTGTTTGGCTGGAAACCACAGGTGTGGGCTCAATTCCAGACCTGAAGGGGCCATAGTCTCAGTGGTTCCACCAGGCTCTATTGGACCAGCAAACCTGGTCCCCACCTTTTTTTTTTTCCTCCAAATGATTTTGAGTTTTGTTCCATGTTGTTCTCCCTCTCTATCAAGGGTCTCCTACATAGATCCCCTTCCAAGTGAATGACAGTGGTAGTACTGGCACATTTCTTACTAAAAAAGATTTCATCCTTGCCACAGGTAACCAACCCAGTTGCCATTGAATTGATTTCAACTCATGGTTACCTCATGTGTGTCAGAGTAGAACTGTACTCAATAGAATTTTTAGAGGCTGATTTTTCAGAAACAGATTGCCATATTGTCCTGAGGTATCTCTGGGTGGACTCAACTGCTAACCTTTTGATAAGCAGCTGAGCATGTTAACTGTTTGTATCACCTGGTGACTCTTCTTGCATCAGAACCTGCTTTTTTCTCATCATATTCTCTAGTTATTGACCATCAGCATGATTTTTAACAATTCCAAGTGCCCTACTGTCAGATATAGGAGCTCTGGTGGTGTAGTGCCTAAGGCATTTGACTGCTAACCAGAAGGCTGGCAGTTCAAACCCACCAGCCTCTTCTCAGAAGGAAGGTTGGGCAATCTACTTCCGTAGAGATACCGTCTTAGAAACCCAAGGAGAGGTTGCTATGAGTTGCAATTGACTCGATGGTAATGAGTACCATCAGATGTGTTGTAATTTGTTTTAACCATTCCCCTTTAGACAGACACTTAGATTTTTGCTGATGTTTTTGTCATCACCAATAATGAAAGATGGATATTTTCAGGCATAAATATTTGATTGCAATTCTGACTATTTCCTTAAGAGAGACTCCTTGGAGTATAACTACTGGGCCAGAGTGTGAACTTTTTTTGAAGTTCTTGAAACATATTGCTAGATTCTGAAAAGGCTTTTCAGAAAACACTACCACCAAAGTGGCCAGTTTCCATCTGGTTGCTGTGGAATTACGTGAGAGTCGATCGACCTATGAATGATGAGGGTATTCTTCCTGCTCTTGACAAAATGTGTTGTAAACTCCTTCTGCTCTTTTGAGCTGAGTGGCAATCTTAGGACCATGGAGTTCCCATACTTTGCTGCTATAGACAAGCTAACCAAACCAAAAACCAAACTCACTGTCATCAAGTTGATTCCAACCCATAGTGGCCCTCATTGGGTTTCCAAGGCTATAAATCTTTATGAAGCAGACTACTTTGTCTTTCTTTTTCAGAGTGGCTGGTGGGTTCGAATCACCAAACATTTGGTTAGCAGACAGTAGCCTTAACCACTACACCACCAGAACTCCTTGGATAAGCTCACAGCTGATATTAACTCAGTTTACAACTTCAGCAAATGTCGCAGTGACCATTCTTTCTCTCACTTATTTGAGGATGCTGTTGATGGAGTTGTGATTCGGAATTTTGAGCCTGGGCCCAGAGCTCCTGTTTTAGAGTGCAGCATCACGGCTGACAGCAAAAGGTGACTTTCCCCTTGTTTTATACAGGTCAGGAAACCTGAGACTGAGAAGGCAGGCCAGAGTCCAGGCATACAAGTGACAGGCTTTTATTAAAGTAGATGGACACTCCTATCCATTGTCTCATGGCTTCCTTTTTTTGTGTGTGAGAATAAAATAGACGTGTCAATACTTTGAAAATTTAAAGTGCTAAAAAAATGAAATATATTGTGGCTAAAATAAAGCCAGTCTGAATTTTCTTTTCTGTAGCCATGTATGTAAACTGTTGAAGCTGCAAGGGGTTTTAGCAATTTAGTCCAGGCCCTCATGTCACAGAGGGGAAACAGAGGCTCAGGGACCCAGAGACTTGCCCTGGCCTATCATCTGGAAAGAGTCAGGGCTGGGAGGCAGCAACACACAGAGAAGAACCTCCAAAATCTGTTTGTTTAAATCCGTTCAGACAGACATGAGAGGAGCCTTTAAAAGACAAATGAATTTGCTTTAAATGGATTTACTTTTACCCTGAGCAGCAGCTGTAAACACAATTTTTATAAAAACTACTGTGGGAATTTGTTTCATTTACCTTACTTAGAGGACAAACACTGCCACAGAAACATGCACTATAAAAAGACAAAGGTTCATGTATATTTTACTAACGTACCAGAAAATGTTTCAGAATGAAATGAGCTGTCTACGGAACTTTTTCTTGTAAAAAATCAGGTGAGAAGAGAAGGAAGTGCTTGATTCTTGTGAGTTGTAATTATCCCCTTAAAAGGAGACAGTAAATTATAGGACAGAAGAAATGATACTTTTAAAATCTTAAATATAAAGAAACATATTCCAGTGGCTGAAGGATTAAGGAGGATAATTGTGTTACAGTGCCTTTGGTGTTGGCTTCTCTCTCTTTTCAATGAGTTGAAGGAGCTTGACATTCCTAAGCAAATACATGAATGGTGCTACAGTCTTGCTGTGGCCATCCCTCCTGTCTGTATCATATAGTTCCCATGCAGGGACCCAGGGACTTTACAGGAGTCAGAGGTTTGGTGAAATCTCTGGAGAGCACAAGCTAAACGTGCAGCAGCCTTTGACCCAGTCCTGTTGGTCCCCAGCAGGGCTCATAGAGTGACTTAGCTCCAGGGCCCAAGGCTTATGCTTGAGTCTTCATGGGAAGGTAGTTTCTTGGTGGGAGGACCCATACAGAACGGCAGGTGGTCACTGTGAGAATGAAACCACACTCTTCATTCAGGAATGAAGATCATAGTCACTTTTTAATTAATACGAGGGCCATTTAAAGTATTTTCATAAAATATGATATGGAGCAATTTTGTTGTTGTTATGTGCCGTGGAGTCGGACACAACTCATAGTGAGTCCTCCTTGGGTTTCTGAGGCAGTATCGTTACAGAAGTAGATTGCTCAACCTTCCTTCCGAGGAGTGGCTGATGAGTTTGAACCATCAGCCTTCTGGTTAGCAGTCAAGTGCCTTAGGCACTATGCTACCAGAGCTCCTGAAGCAACTTTAGGAGACAAAATTAAGGGACTACTTGCAATCTCTGTTTTTAAATGGTAAAAATTTCTATGAAGAAGTCTTTATGGAAACAGCAAGCATAATTGTTCCTGGTATTAAGAGCCTGTATGTGTGCATTTTATTTCCAGACTTATTGCAGCATCCTACGACAAAACAATCAGGGCTTGGGACCTTGAGACAGGAAAGCTGCTGGTATGTATGTCCTGCCCCTGTTGGTAGGAGTTGACAGTCTTGGGATGGTCATGAGGGGCGTCTTTGAGGAAAGGAGCGTTTTCTCAGGGATGGAAGACATAGATGTGAACTGCACGTTACACAAGCCATTGCTTGCAAAGTTTGAAGCTTTAGGAAGATGCAGATGGTAAAGGTGGGGACCAGGGAAGGAAAGCATCTTGGAACAGGCAGAACATGCACTGAATCAGGTTTGGATACACAGAAAGAAGGAGGCACTCTGGGTTGGGGCAACTGCACAGGAATAGGGACTCTCTCGTGGAATGTTTTATTTGATTAGATAGAGAACGGGGTCGAGGCCACTGGACAACGGCCATGTGGGCAAAGCGTGAGGTTCCTGGGCCTTCCCAACGTATCCCCCCTTCATCCTGGAGGGACCACTGTCTATCCATCCGAAGAGTCAGAACTCGAATCACGCCTCCTCTTCCCACGTGCAGGCACCCCACCCAGCTCACAGGTCTCCTCTGGGTGTCCCTCTCCCTCCCTGCTAGCCTGCCTTTAGCAGTTTCTTGGTGCT